CACTTTGTTTGCCCTCTTCTGCACAGTTTTCAGCTCTCCAATATCCCTTTTGAAGTGCATGTTGTTAGGATTTTTAAACCGCTTACTGTTTAAATATGCAGTGGTATATAAATTAACTAAACAAATTAACAAGCATACATGTATTACAAAAAGCACTATAAATCTTCAGGTGTTTTTTTCCTGTTCTCAAGAAAACTGGCATTGTAAATCGCTGAAATGTATTATTAGTGTAGGGGAAACGTTCCCAATTTAGTTTCCATCATTTCTATATCTCTAAAGTGGACATGTTCTATGCTTAGTGATTCAAGTGTTCTGGCAAAAGTGCTTCTCTGTGTGGCAGTTTTTCTCAACCCGCAATTGTTCACCCTCATCCCTTAACATGCTGCTTTTCAATCTACACGGATTCTAGACCCTGCCATCCACAAAGGTGGCTGTTGTTAGCTAACGAAGAAGAAAGTGGTGATTGCGATATCGTTATACACCCACCCAGAACATCATTATGCAGCTTGTTGCTGGGACCACAGCATTTTCATCTGTTTTCAAATGGACACAGAGCGGGGTAAGGCAGAAACAACCTGCAGTGAGCTTTTATTCTTGGAAGGAAACCAGTTTATCAAAAAGCACTTTTCAGGGTCAAAACATACGAGATAGATCTAGCTTGTGTGTGGACTCCATAAAAAAACAAGTACTCATTCTCCATTGATTCTAGAATAAAATATTCAGTGTATGCAGCTCCCCTCTCTTTTAACCGGCTTCTGTTTTCCTGAAGTCAAAGCAGCAGACACACATCCCACTTCCCTTTCTTCCCCTGCTCGCTGCCTGAGAATGTGTGTATTGATTGATTGCTAACTTTTTGAGCCATTGCTCTGAGCGTGTTTCTCTAGCCCTGCCTTCATGTAATGAAGGGGACACCTTGCTGCAGGGGGCACCTGCAGCTCCCGAATGACAGGCATCTGAGCTGTGATTAATTGGCTAGACGTCATTGGCAAGTCAAAGGAATGTGGAGCAAAAACATCAACACATCTGTGTTCTGTGCTGGTGCTGGTTAGAGCCTCGCCATTGGCTCAGTTCCCTTTCACCTTCTCTGCATTACTGAGTCTGAGGTTACAGACCTGATCCTTATCAGAAAAGGCAGAAAAGTGTCACATGCCAAGTTGGTCAAGGCAAGTTTAAGTTCTTGCATACAGGCAATGGCAGCCTCGTTCCGAAAATATCTCCAAGGGATCTTCGTTTTGTTTATTCAAGCATTGTGCAAGCCAGAGGTGGGAACAACCTTTGAGCTATGTGCTCTTGTCTGATCCATGAGAGTAGCAAAGAAGTTAAGTTACAGCACAGTCTACTCAGAAGTAAGCCTCATTGAGTTCAATAATACTTACCTCCCCAGGTGAAGGAGCATGGGATTATAGACTACAATCCTAACATCTATCCAAGAGGAGGGATGGCTTTATTTGTTTCTCATTTTTCAGATCTTAAGTTCGTTTTTCCACATTTCCACACTGGTTTGTGATTTATTTATTTTAAAAAGCTCTCGTGAAAATTCATCAGCATTTCAGTGCAAATTTAAATCTTTTGGTTTGAAATTTCCTCTAATGTACACGTTTTTGCAAAGCAAGTTCCCCTAACATAACACATTTTTGCATGTTATTTTCACTAACATACACTTCTGTTTGTACACTTTACCCAAATATATACATTTTTATACACATTATTTGGCTACATAACTGCATTGCAAAATCTGGAGGAGTGCGAAATCCAAATGATGACTGCATTCCAGTTCATAAATTTCAGGCAGGCTTACATAGGAGGAGGAGGACATCTTACAGATACCCTGACCCCAAACCATTTCAGGCTTTATAGCCAGTACCATGACTTGCACAAGGCTACATGGTGAGTTCACCAGAGAGGAGAGGTTCAAAGTGGGAATTTCCTGATTCGTAACTCAAAAGATTGGTTCTGTGCATCAGAAATAAGCCTCGTTGAATTATATAAGAACAGCCTTGCTGGATCATACCAGTGATCCATCTAGTCCAGCATCCTGTTTTCACAGTGGACAACCAGATGTCTATGGCAAATCCAAAAGCAGGACTTGGGGGCAAGAGCACTCTACTCGCTTGTGATTCCCAACAACTAGTATTCAGAGGCATTCTGCCTCCAACGGTGGCGTAGAACATATCCAACATGATGAGCAGACATGGATAGCCTCACCTTCCCTGAATTTGTCCACTCCTCTTTTAAAGCCATCCAAGTTCATTGCCATCACTGCCTCTTGTGGGAACAAATTCCATAGTTTAACTATGTGATGGATGGAAAGGTACACCCCTTTGTCTATCCTGAATCTTCCAACATCAACTTCATTGGATGCCCATGAGTTCTAGTGTCCCCCCCCCATAAAATTTACATGCCACTTGATTGTAAAACCAACCAACCAACCTTAAAGCGGTTTACAGAGTGTTGTGAGAGAGTGAGAAAATCTCCTCTATCCACTTTCTTGGTGTGATGCATAATTTTGTACATTTATATCATAAATTTTGTACATTTATATCTTTTACTCACTTTTTCTCTAAACCAGGGTTTCTCAACCTTGAATCTCCAGCTGTTTTTTTGGACTACAACTCCCATCATCCCTAGCTAGCAGGACCAGGGGTCAGGGATTATGGGAATTGTAGTCCAAAAAAACAGCTGGAGACCCAATTTTGGGAAACCAAGCTCTAAACTAAAACCCCCCCTGCAAATTCTGTTTTCTTTCCTCGTAGGCGAGTTTCTCCCCTTGATCTTTTTGATTGCCCTTTTCTGAAATTTTTCCAACTCTGCAGTGCCCTCTACTACATTGCATTTGCCGTTTTACAGCCCATTCACTGAGTTTGGTGAGGTCCTTTTGTTGTTCATCAGAATCATTTTTGTTTTAACGGCCTAGAACTTCTTGGTATCATCACTGAACGTGGTCTCCTCACTGTTCACCCCTCACTCTAGATTATTATGAACAAGTTAGAAAGCTCTCAATACTGATCCTTGGTGGACTTCACTTCTACATCCCTCCATTGAGAGAAAGTCCATTTATTCCTACTCTCTGCTTCCTGTTACTTAACTAGTTTCTGATCCACAAAAGGGCTTCTCCTCTCATTCCATAACTGCTGAGAAGTCTTTGGTACCTGGTACCTGGGCTTGCTTTCAAATAAGTGCATATAGGATTGCAGTCTGAGTCTCTCAGATGCTTTTCCAAAAGGGCATTTGTGGGTACAACTATAAATAAATAAAAACTTGCTACAAAAATCTGCTATCAGCACATCATGCTCCTACCATACACTGCTGTGTACAAAGTCAGGATTGATACAGTTATGAACTAAAATGGAACAATTAAACAGCTTGATCCCCAACCCTGTCCAGACAGAAACTGGAATTTTGGCCAGTTCAGTCCAATTGACGTCAGTACCAACAGCAACTTGATGTCAGTGAAATGTAATTGGCTTAAAAATTAAAGTATGTCAGCTTTATTTAGAGCTGAGGTGTGGGGATTGGTACTGCATGTGCCTGATTCCAGAAGAATTGAAATGTTTTAGGTTCTCTCTCTCTCTCTCTCTCTCTCTCTCACACACACACACACAGGAATTTTGTCTTTTTGCCGAAGGAAGCCTATGTACAATATAGCATCAAGCGACAGATACTTTAAAGATATAGACCACCTATTTGTTTTTAAACCTATGAAACCTATGAAAATTAATGATTCTAAGTTTGCCATGCCCATTAATTTCAATACATCTACTTTGGGTAGGACAAATATTGGCTAAACTCCTAAATGTCTTGGGAGCTCAATGCTTCTTTGGAAGCAATATTCAAACAAGTCATGGTGGTATGCCACATTTACCGGTACTCTGGAGATATACAAAGAGAATTCAGCTAATATAGTCATGTGCAGTACTGTTTTGCAATCTCACTGTATAGCAAGCACATCCATCACATGCGAAGCCAGCCACTTTAATGCATGGAAGGAAGGTATTTGAAATGTCAGTTAGGTGTTGTAGCTGAACATGGTAGTTCAGTGTTGAGCTTTATTGACTTTTGGTGCTTATCATTTTACCCTACTTCAGAGCTCCTCTTGAGCACCTGGTTGGTGAATATTGGTTATAGCTTATTATTGTAAGCTAGCTGCTCCTTTGGTCTGAATTAGGTTGCCCTGTCTAATCTTAGCCAACCCTAGGATTAGCTCCAAGGATAGTGAGCTGGGAGTGTCCAGATAGGCCTACATCTAGTGTCTAGGTGAGGGCTGGGAAAACTGTGGTCTTCCAGATGTTGTTGAAGTCCAGCATCTATCACTCCAGCCAAGCATGACCAGTGGTGATGGATGGTGGGACTTGCATTCCAGCAACATCTGGAGAGCCACAGGTTCCCCATCTCTGGCCTAGTTACTTTTTTTTAATTAAATAATATTTATTAATAATTTCAAAGTAACAGAAAAAAAAGAAAAAATAAAGAACAACACTACAATACATAAAAAGAAGAAAAAACACAAAACATAAAAACCAATACAACAATACAGCAAAAAAAGGAAAAAAGACACAAATCCCATATTACATATCTTTAACTTCCATTTGCTTGTTTCGTTGACCTCCTCACACCTCCCTTTTTGTATTCTAGTTTAGTTAGTTATTTCAGCAAATTCTTTCCATCTTTCTCAATTTTTATTAAATAATTTATCTTAACAATTTAACCTATTAATTAACTCGACAGATCCTTTCCATCTTTCCCCATATTCTGTTATTCAAATTACCTTAATTTATTTAACCTTATCTTACCATAAAATACCTTAAAGCTTAAAACTTAATACTCAGTTATACATAACTCCTGATATCATTTCTGCTAGAGTCATATAGTTTCATTCCAACATTTTCCCTAATATTCATTAATTTTAGGCTAATTCCCTAAATAAAAAATTTTCTTTATAAATTTTCTTCCAATCTTCATCCAACGTCTCTTCTTCCTGGTCTCGGGTCGTGTCAGTCCTTACTGTCCATTCCATCTAGTCCATCAACCTGGAAGTCTTATGTCCGAGGCCCTTAAGTCTCTTCCATGTCCCTTCTGCAGATCTTCTTCTTCTTGTTTATACTTGCACTTTTCCTTGTCTTTTGTTGGTCTCTTTCTTAATTTCTTTCCTTTCTCATTGAGGAGTAGGTCTCTGGGGGGTTCCAACCCAAAGTTATCTCCGTCTCCCTTCATCAAACCAGCCCATTCCCCACAGTCCCACTCCCCACAGTCATCAATATAATCCAAAAATATTTACGAGCATATTTCGAAGTCTCTCCAAAGTTAAAAGCCTCCTCAGCTCCAGACTCCCCCTGGCCCACTCCAACTTCAATCTTCAAAAACAGTGGCTTATGCTCCTGTAGGGCCTTGGGCCTCTCCATTTGTATTATTTGAGGTGCAACCGCAGCCTCCTCCATTATCTTCTGCACTTGCCCAATCAATACAGGTTCCTGAGTTGGACCCTGGATGGTTTCTGTATCACTATTCACTATTTGTCCACAGTTATTGGCCACAACAGTCATCAAATCCATTTTCTCATTCATCAAATCCATCTTCTCATGCATCTGTTCCAACAAAGCACTTGTCTTGCATAAAGCAAGCACCAAAACTTCCTTCCAGCTCATATTTAGTCAAGGTCAAAAGGACTAATCCCACGATCTTAATCTCACAGCTGTGGAATCCTCAAGTAGACTGCAGCAACAATTTAGCAGGCTCCCTCTAGAGGAGACAATTTCTATTTGTATCCATCTTTTTAAGGCAAGTCCAACAAAGGAAAATTACTTTCATTTTTCAGATATTTTGTTTCTTTAGAATGCAAAAGGCAACATTGGAATCAGTTTATTTCTCTTCTTCAGCTATCTGTCAAAGTATTCCATTCACAGTCAATGAACCTCTCCAACAATTTCTGTCTCTGACACCCCGTTCCCAGGTTAGAGACGGTGGAAACTTATCTTTCTTCACTCCCTCTCCTGCAGGCATTACACAAAGTCCCCCCCCCCTTTTCTCCGGCTTCCAAGGGGGGTTCAGTAGTTATAAATGAAGGAAAGTTAGACTTTTTTTAAGACTGTCCAGGCTTTAGCTTACAAGGTTTTTGCTTCAGTCTATATACAAAAAGCGGAAGGCGGACTTCCTGTTTTGAACCTTCCCGCTTCGATGTCAAATTAAGATATTTCTTGATCCAATTTTCCGTTTCTACTCACGGGTACTTGTTTTAAATCCAATTGTCCACAGGAAAAAGTCAGCGCTCTCCGGCGATGGCTGTGCGGCTTCACTCCGTGAAAGTAGCAGTCAGTTCGCAGCACCACGCTGCTCACCCCACTTCACTCCGGAATCCCCAAAAGGGGTTCCCCATGAGTAGGGGGGCGCTCCTGGTGCCCTGCCGAACCCCACGTTCCCAGGCTTCCTCCGCCTGGGATTTCTAGCGGGTCCCCACCTTCGCCACGGCGGGAAGACCCAGTTTCCACGGAGCCAGTTCCTCCGGTCGGAGGAACTCCGCCATTCGCCGATGGCGCTAACCCGGAAGTGCGTCCTCTGGCCTAGTTACTAACAGTGATAGCTACTTAATGTTTTCCCCACAATAGAAATAGAGAACAACCACCACGGTCACCAAGTTAATCCACGATGGTTAGATTACTGGGGAGATCAGGGATCAGATGTACAAATGTCTTTTTCTTTCTTTATTTACTCCTCCCACCTCCAAAGCTATTAACCATACAGTGGGGAACAATATGGATGGTTGCCTTTTCCCCCATCAGTGAGTTGAATAGCATATAACATATTGGGAGATCAAATGGTAGATCGACAATGGAACGGTCTCCCTCGGGACTCTCTTTCCTTGGACATTTTTAAGCAGAGGTTGGATGGCCATCTGTCATGATTCCTTAGTTAAGATTCTTGCATTGAAGGGGGTTGGACTAGAGGACCCTTAGGGTCCCTTCCAACTCTACAATTATCCTATGATTCAATGATCTTCCATGCAACGTGTAGCTTGTGCCTGAGTGGGAATTTGAACGTAGTTTCTTTATGTATTGGTTTAGAAATGATGGTGTCCTCAAAAACCAACAGTAATTGTGCTGGTACATATGTACATATGAAAGGATGGCTGGCACAGCCAGGTTGTTCCCATCCGGAAAATCCTTGAAAGTCTCATACAGGATGGCTTTTATCAGAAGTCTTTCCGCTCTTGTTTAACAAGTGCCATGGTTACAAGCCTCGGTAAACTGATGATATTCACACGCAGGAAACAACGCAAAGAAAACAGGAATTGCATGGCTCCGGCTATGCTGCCCCAAGAATTCCAGGAAGTGATTATACTTTATGAAATCGTCTGCGCTCCGCTAGTTTGTCTATAGCTTTTTAAGGTCAAGCCGTATCATGCTGCGTTTGAAATGCCCTTTGTGTAATGAAGAATGTTTATGAACCCAAGTACATGCTGTATTGTTTTCCACACTCTTCGGTTTGGAAGGTGCTGTGTTGGAGCCTCTTTTACGGGATGGCATGAGGAATCTATCACGGACCTTTCTGGCATCAAAGGAGGGCTGTCCATCATGCCCCTTGAAATGTTGTCACTGCATGGAGAAAGTCACGAAGTCCATGCCGCTCAGGGCAAGACACTGATAGGAAGGCAGAGGCGCTAGGACGTGCCCTGTTTGCATTATGAATTTCCTGCTTGCATTCCAGCTGAATATTCGTAGCACAGGGAGCTTCTGCCCCAGTAAGCACCCTTTGCAACTTGGGAGGAAAAGGAACAGGAGAGACTTTTTTATTATTTTGCACTCTTGTAAGACGGCGGCAGCATGTGCTTACTAGGAAAGAGAAAGCCGGGAGGTAGTCTTGCAGCCAGGGTTTTCCCTTTGCGGACGCTCTGATCTTTGAAGAACAGGAAAAGGCAGAGCTGGTGCCTGCCAATATACTCTATGAAATTGAAAGGTAACAATGGGTTTCCAAACCCTTTGGACTCCCACCGCAATGCGCACACAACTGCTTCTAAGGTCTGGCATAGTTTTTATAGTACGCGGGCCAATGATTGTATTCTTCTCTGTATGTGCTTACATAGGTACATAGGAAGCTGCCTTATACAGAGTCAGAGCATTGTCTACACTAACTGGCAGTGTCTCTCCAGGGTTTCAGACAAGGGGTCATTCCCAGTCCTGCCTGGAGATGCCAGGGATTGAAGCTTTTGCATGCAAGGATCATGCTCGGCCACTGAGCTATGACCCTTCCTCAAGCTTACATTTAGTCGCAGTTTTGAGCAACTCATCATTATGGGTATGTTCCTTGCTCACTTTCCCAGCAGCCATGCCTGAAGGTCTCCTTTGGAGGGAGTGCAACCCCATCAAGAGTAGGCAACCTCCCATCCATCCAGTCTAGGGAACCAGCCACTTATCTGGATTAACCTTCAGTTTATTGGCTCTCATCCATCCCATTATTGAGGTTCAGCACATGCACTGCTACACCTGCGGATGTAAAGGAGAAGTAGAGCTGTGTGTCATCAGCATCTTGCTGACGACACACTCCAAAACTATGGATAACCCCACTCAGTGGTTTCATGTAGATTTAAAAAAGCATGGGGGGTAAAATTGAACCCCCCAGAACCCCACATTGAAGGCTCCGTGGGGCTGAAGAGCACTCCCCAAACCTCACCCTCTGGAAATGACCATCCATGTAAGACTGGAACCACCACAAAGCAGTGCCACCCACTCCTAACGTGGACAGCTGCTCCAGAAGGATATCATGGTTGAGGGTATGAAAAGCCCCTGAGAGGTTGAGGAGAGTTATCAAGTACACAGGGGTCCATAAGAGCAGGGATAAGAAGAAACTAGAGCTGAACAACAGGATTCCACATTTTGGCTAAAAACCATCACAATAAAAGCAGCAAATATACTTGTTTGCTTTCTGTGGGGATACAGTAAGTAGGAAAGAAGATACAACAGTAGTTAGAGCCTTCATTATTCAAAGTGATGTTTCTCAAGGGGAGGAGGCATTATATTAAAAAACAAAAAATTGGCTAAGTCCCTTCCCTTATAAAGGCCAGGTTAATAGAGATATCTATCCAACAGAATATGGTAGCTGCTGTTGTTAAATGGGCATGCCATATGCCATGCCTGAAATGCCTGAAATAATAATTTTAAACATGAGAAATACATAACCGCTTCAACTCAATGCCCACTTGAGGAAAGCTTTACCTAACCTAAGTTTTCAGACTAGGAGAGTTTAACATCGACCTGAATCTAATTGGCCACAGTTTTTGTAGCTGAATGTTTAGCTCCAACTTGGATCTTGGAACCCATGAATTCATGCACACACACATACCCAAAAGGAGAACGTTCGCTCAGTGTTTAGTTTCATTTTTTGCCTTAACTTGGCCTGTCATTGCATACCAATTTCAAACCATGGGTTATGAATCTGGCTTGTTTAGCTAACCAAAGCAGCCACATTTGGGGTGGTGCCAAGGAACCCCCAGAGTCTGGCATCAGCTCTTGTGTCTGTGTATTTGTGTGTGTGTGATTTCCTGTTATTTTGCAAATTCAATACCAGTTTTTAATTTTTTTTGGTTCTTACCAGTTTCTCAGCAAACAGCATTAAATTGGCTTGTAAATATGTTCACAGCTGTTTACTGTCTATCATTGTGGGTGACTGTTTATGTTGTTGTCTCATGTGAATGAATTTCTGTAACTCAGTGCACTGTGCTAACAAATGTTATTTCCTCACAAGGGAAACCCCTGAGTCACAAATGTTGTCAGCAACAGAATCATTGCACAGGCATTTGCAAACAGTGAGCCAGTATGACCACATACAGCAATGAAGGCAAATAAAATGCGTACTTTTGAAGAAGGTCTGAAACCTAGGCTTCCTGTCTAAAGTCATCTTGTACAGGGAAGTTTGTTTTCCCCTTATCAGGAAAATTTGAAGAAGCTGAACATTTCAAACAATCCAACTTTGCAACAAAAGGTCCCTCAGGATTTTATAAGGAATGTCATTCTGATGATGCATATTAAAAGAACCTGCTAAACATTCAGCCACAAAAACTGTGGACAATTAGACTCAGGTTGATGTTAAACATACACAGTCATTGGTGTCAACAGTGTCTGACCCATATTGCAAGCCAGGGGGCATGGCTGCACAGGGATTTCTGTTTGGGCCAGATGATCCCAGAACATGGACCTCAAAAGGCAAGGATGGTGGGCTAGGTGTTGTTGGAGTCCAACTCCCATTAGCTCCAGGCAGCAGGGGTGATGGGAGTTGGAGTCCAATTATATTTAGGATATGGTTACCAGATTTTTTTCAATGAATCCGGGGACACTTTTTTTTTTTTGAAGCTGCATAACAACAGGGAGTCAGTAGTAGGGATGGTGAGGCAAAAGACCCTGAGCCCAAGCACATATGCTTATTGTATAAAGGTGCAAAGCCCTTCTTTCACACCCTGTGAAACATAAATGCACAGAGGTTTTTTTAAAAACTGGACAACGGCATGCAGCCCACCCATGACTCCCAAGCCTTCCCCGATCTCCTTCTCCCTTTGTTTTGACAGATTGGGGGAGGCTCGGGAGTCACGGGCAGGCGGCTGTTTCCCAGGAGGGGCCAGCCTGGTAGTGCAGTTGGCTCTGGCTGGTTTCAGGAGCTGCTCGCTGCCGTAGTGCAGGAAAATGGTGGGCGCTGCAGCAGTGAGCAGCAAGCAGCTCCTGAAGCCAGCCAGAGCCAACTGCGCTAACAGGCTGGCTTCGGGCTGCTGAGGCTGCCGCTGCTACGTTTCCCGGGGACAGATTTGCAAATCTGGGATTTCCAGTTTGGCACGAAAGCATTGCAGCAATGAGTTCTACAGCTTAACGTTGTCTTATGTGAAGAAATGTCCTTTTGCATTTGTTTCAGACCAATTCTTGTTTAAGACCTATTCCCTGTATGGGTGCCTGCTCCCCCCCTTCTCGATTTAAGATCTATATTATTTCTGCCCCTGTAGTTTAACTTTTTAGCTCATCCTTCTATAGAAATTGTACTCCTGTACTCTGGATGAGAATTCTGAGGAGTGCAATTTATTCTTGATCAGCTTCTTCAATGAGCTGTTGCACCAGTCCTCTTTTAAAGAGATTGTTCTACGCAATTTTTCATTCAGTAACTAGAACGTGAAATATTCAGTTTGTAGATAGGACTTTCTGTAAAATGTCTGCAAACAGACATTGCAGTAACCTGAAAGGGAAAACAAGCCAACATGTTCCCAACACAGCAGGAGTGAATGTAGTTCCTTTGTCTTTCTATGAAAAGTTTACATAGTGGCTAAGAAAAGTGTGTGTGTGTGTGTGTGTGTGTGTGTGTGTGTGTGTGTATAGTATGTAAGTAAGTAAGTGGATGGACAGAATACCAACTGATCCTAAAATAGGCATTTAGACAACATTCTTTCAACATGGGATACGCCATGGGAAGAAGGGTTTTCTTGTATATTTTTACTTCTCAAAGTGCACCAGTTAGTCTGAAATAGACTCAGAGATTAATATCCTACCACCATCCCCTGTATTCACTGGATTGAAGAGAAAGCCCTGGAGTGTGCAGTGTTGACAGACTGCTAACAACTGTGATTTAGAACTCTCTTAGCACTCTTTGCTTCCTGTTCAACAAACCCTACCTACCGATCTGCTAATTGCACATGGATTCACCTCAAGTCTTCCCTTACAATCGAGAGTAACAAAAGGCAATTGCAGCCAAAATATATCCCGCAGGTGCTGTTTATTTGGAGGGGAGGAAGGAATGTATTTGATTCTATGATTCTGTGATTAGGATGGCAGTTCCTTATCATTTCACATCACACAGCTGTGGGCCTCTTGATTCCTGTTATTTCTCAAAGTGCATTCTCAGAGTTTTGACAGCAATATAATTTGTGGCATATTTTCCCACTGCCATATTCTCTTTGCCCTTATCTGCTATTTTAAAATAGTTTTTTTCCCCTCTTAATGCTGAGGAAAACATGAGATTGGTTAAATAGAATGGCATAATTTTAAAGTGAAAATGCAAGCTTAGGGGCAAACCACACAGCCAGCAGACTCACTTGATTTATCTCTTGCTGGACCATATCCTGATGTAGACTAGACGCTGCTCAATTTCCTGGTCATGATTAGGAGATTGGGAGCATCCCCTGGACTCACCTGTTATTTCCTCGCCTGCCTTTCATTTTTGAAGCTAAGTATGTGGGTTAAACCACAGAGCCTAGGATTTGCCGATCAGAAGGTCAGCGGTTCGAATCCCCACAATAGGGTGAGCTCCCGTTGTTCGGTCCTTGCTCCTGCCAACCTAGCTGTTTGAAAGCACGTCAGGTGCAAGTAGATAAATAGGTACCGCTCCATTAGGAAGGTAAACAGCGTTTCCGTGCACTGCTCTGGTTCGCCAGAAGCAGCTTAGTCATGCTGGCCACATGACCCGGAAGCTGTACGCCGGCTCCCTCGGCCAATAAAGCGAGATGAGCACCGCAACCCCAGAGTTGGCCATGACTGGACCTAATGGTCAGGGGTCCTTTATGTTACTGTATCACAGCATCTGTACCAGCATTTTCACTAGCTGTAGCTGTGGTTAGCACAACTTCACATATGTAATTCTGCACCATGGTTAGCTTGGAAAATTAAAAGGGAAAGGGTAAGGGTGCACTAGCACACAAGAGGGAGGAGTATTGCAAGCCCCCAAGGTTTGTTCTATAGGCTGTCAAAGGTTCATATGTGTTGATGGGTGGATATGCATCTAGTAATAAATGAATGAATAAAATTAAGATGCTTCTGCTCTCTTAACCATGGTTAGGAAATTGGGAGCTGTTCTAGGCTCTCACTCTTTTCATGTATCCCTTAAAGACTGAGAAATTCCATTTGTGCAACTATAGCTGATTTGGAGCTCTTGTGCAACAAACATGGACTTTTTTGCAATAAAGAAAATGCACTGGAATTGTAGGAGAAAACAGTGTAGGTGAAAACTTGCTTAGCACCATGTCAGTCTAACCTCCCCGGAAATTAATCCATATGAATGCTCTGGAATAAACAGGGCATCTGGAAGGGGCTTTGGAATAGCGATGATGGAAATTTGATTCAACTCATACCTAAAGCTGAACTTACCGGATTTGCAGTTTCTGAAACAAGATGCAAACTGAAACACAGCCGTCCTTCAAAAGCCGCACCTTTCCGAATTTTGCACTGCAATTCTCCAGCCAAGCAATATGTGCAAAAAATAAAATAAAATGCATGTATTAGGGTAAAGTGTGCATATAAATGCATACATTAGTAAAAACAACAACATTAAAATGCATTAGACATGGGGAAATTGCCTGTAAAATATGTAATTTGTCAAAACTGCATGCAATTTGGAAAATAATGAGAAATATAGAGAATCATACATTTGAAAAACAAAACTCCTTACACATTAAAAACTAGCATGGTTGGTAAAAGGCTAGATAAAAAGGATACTTCTTCCACAGTGGCAAGCCAGTTTTGTATGTCCAGGGAATTCCTTTGATGTGGAGAGTATAAAGCTTTCTGCTTCCCAGCACAAACTTGATGACCGTCTTGTTCCTTCCACGTTTGAAGAAAGAATATCTGTATTCACTGGATTTTTGGATGGAGGAAGGGAGTTTTATTTACAGTTGCTGCTGTGTTGGTAATAATAGGATACAAAAAGGAAAATGGTAAGATGGTTTCTATTTTTGGACCAGATTATGTTGATTTAAGAATACTTTTGAGGTATATAGAAATCGTTATCCAATCATGGGGGGGGGGGATATTTCCTGTAATGTAAGAAGCAAGCTTGCTTTCTAATTTAAATACTTTTGCCTCATTTTGTGAGAACTTAAGTCCAATTACCAAATTTCAGCCTATGAAAACAAAATGTAATAGTGTAGTTTGGCCAGCAGGGGACAACCACAGTCTTTTGTGAAACTGTACACCTTAGCTCTTTTTCCATTTTCTTTGCTGCAGAAATTCGGTGCAACGGAAATCTTTCCATCAATAAAAGTCCCTTTAATTAA